TGGAAAAACTCCCTCGCGCATTTTATCCTTCGGGGCGGGGCGCGCAAAAAGGAGGTGTGACATGGAGTATTAAATCAAGTTACATATAACTGACACTCAATCAATTTGACAGTACAAAATAATTTTTGAATTTTCAGTCAAATAAATTACTGCGTATTACAATTTAGACGTATTTTATGGGAACGCATATCCAAGTAAAAAAAAGTCAAAAATAGCCTAATTTACGACTAGTAATTAAAAATAAGTCACAGTTTCAAAAGCAATTGTATTTACCAACAAAAAAGAATCAAGATTTAGTTAAATTTTCATGTAAAAATAAAATCTGAATAAAAATACCCTTAAAAATTCAAGCATAATATGTTGGAAATTCATTCCAACATAATGTGCTGGAATTCTATCATAATATGCTAGAAGTTTATACGCAAAAACTCTATAATCCGGCGTATTATGCTGGAACTTTCCATGTTAAAAAAGCGGGTATAGATGCAAATCTGTACCCCTCGCTAGCCCATGCCCTTTTTACATGCCCAACTGGCGCGGTCCATTCAAATTTTAGTGAAAAATTTACGTGGCATAGCTAATTATAAGGATAATAACTACTACCTTTTAATTTAATGAATTTTCAAAACTAGCTACCAAAAGCTCTTTAAAAGGTAGTCAGTTGTTTATGCAAGTTTTCTTTTAGTCTCAAATGGACGCCAAGAAAGCCAGGCCTGCAACCTTTCTTCTACCCTGCTGAGCTTTAATCTGTGCTTTGCAACCTTTCTAACTCATTTCTTGCAGTGGAAGAAAATGGCGAATCTAAGAAGGGCTCTCCTCTTCACAATTCCTCGAATCCACCAGAGGACTTCTGTTGCAAACTCCGCACTCCCCTCTCTTTATAGCCCGTTTGGCCTATAAAAATCGCGAGAAAGTGTTTTTTTTTTAAAAGTGATTTTCTCAAAAGTAATTTTGGCGAGAAACAGTTTGTGTTTGACTAATTAGTTTGAAAAGTACTTCTGAACAGCAATTAATGTTTGGCCAAGCTTTAAAAAATTGCTTATAAGTGTATTTTTCTCAAACAGTGCTTCTAAAGTGCTTTAGAGAAAAACTACTTTTTTCTGCTTCTCCTCAAAAGTACTTTTTTCCTTTCAAAAGCTTGGTCAAACACCTCAATTTTTTGTCAAAAGTACTTTTAGGAAGAAGAAAAAAATACTTTTGGCCAAAAAGAAGTTTGGCCAAACAGGCTATTAGTCTTTACCGATTAATATCCACCTATCTCAATTTACTCCTTCATTTATGTTTCTTTTTTGTTGCTCTCTTTGTATTGTTCTAATTTTGTAGCGTTTATGATATAATTAAGTAAATAACAGTATGCTTTATCTAATCACTTAAATTCCTAATACGCTTTAATATAATAGTATTTTTTATAAGCGGTGTCGATATTTATAGAAGGCGGAGAATAAAAAGTACTACTCCATTAATTATCACATTGCTCAATAAGAAATAGCCTTAGTCCAATTGCTTTTGTTGAATCTTAAGTTATAAGAACCGCAATTTTTAGGAATAAAAGCTCTCTCAAATATTTGACGAAAATATGATCTAGTTGTGGTTTGAACCTCTGACCTCCTACACTAAAATTAGGAACTTAATCAGCAAGCCAACTTACAACAGGCATCAAGTGGTGTCATTTTTTTTTATCTTATTGGATCCGTAGAGTATTACTACATATATTTCATAAAATTTTCCAAAGAAGCGCTTCGTTGCACGTGCATCCGCTCCTGTTCAATATGATATCTGAAGTCCTGGATTCGCAAGAAATTTCTATATGTTTGAGCTATGAAAAAAAAATCAGACTCGCACTTTGAAGAGGTGTCTGAAGACGTAATTAAATAAATAAAAGTGTGTTCAAATTTGACAAACCTCTAAAATACTGAATTCTTGGTACCCGTCCACGTAGGCACACACTTATAATGAGTTATAATGGAGTAAAAGAATTATAAAGCTTGATCCCTGCTAATTTGAGATTGAAGCTAGTAGACTGATTAATCATATTTGCTTCTGTTTTAATCTTTTAGGCTTTTTCTATCATTTGTACTTGTTTGCTATCTGACCCTTTACGCGGTTTGATGATTAAATAGTTCATACTTAGGCCTTTTCTGATCATAGAGTTCACCCTTGCTTATTGTTTGATCGTTTAGGCCTTTAGCTGGCACATTCTCACGTTTTTTTACTTCCAAAGAGAATTGTGGGCCGATTGATATCGATCTCTCCAATGAAGAGAGTAAGAGACGCTTATTCAACAGGTTAGTAAAATTGTGTGGTGGGTTCTGGCTCCTTTAGCGGGTTTATCAGATTTTAATGGGGTGTATATATTTGGTAATTATTATAGGCTTCATTACCAGAGCAAACAAAGAGGGTTCTTGGAGCTGGACCTTGTTCTAGGCAAATGGGTGGAGGATCATATTCGGTCCATGGATGAAGATGGAGTTAAGTCCCTTGTTAATGTTCTTGACCTGGTAATTGATTTGTTTTCCTTTCTTGTGTTTTGTTTAGTGCGTTTGGTTGGTGGAAAATGTTCTTCATGGAAAACATTTCACTGTATTTGGCTGTGCATAAAGTGCCTGATGTTCCTTGTGTGTATAAGGGGTTTGTGTTGAAGTGATTTTCGAGTATTAAATATTGAAAATCATGTCATGTTGATTGAAACAAGTGATTATAGGAGAATGACTTCTGTAATGGTTGCTTGACGGATATTTGAGGTGTATGAAGTATGCATAAGAAAGTAGGCCGACTTCCCGACATAGGCTGATCGGAAAATGGACTAGACGCTTGTCATGACATGGGCTTGTTGGAGACTATACTTGTAATTTCTTCTGTATCTTCTCATTGTCATGCTAACACCTAAAGGTTAGTCATGGCCGTGAAGTATACTATCTCTATGTTGCTCACTCTAATTGCAAATGTCAAGAAAACTTAAAAATATTGGGGCTTTGCCAGAAGTATTTTCACTACTAAGGGGAAAGTTGAGTTGCTAATGGCTGGTTTGCTTAAATACAAACCATTAGGAAGAGTGTGAAGATCTATGGGTTGAATGTGGCTTTCTGTCTAGGTGTCAGTTTTGCTATGTTTCTCTAACAATCCTTGTAATTGTATCGAATCATCGCTCTGGAGAAAATGTCCTCAAACACTTTGCTCCACAGTAAAGATATTTGCTTTTGATAGAGCAGTGTATAGAACTAGCATTAGCAAAGCTACTTCTCCTACATGATTATGAGTTTGAGCTGGTTTTATTAAGTTTGTTTGCTTCATGGCTGCAGGAGAATCCAGATTTATGGAAGTGGCTGTCTGGCCAGGAGCAACCACCAGATGCAATTAGCACAAATTCTGTGAGAACCTAAAACAGAATTTCAAGCTTGTCCAAGCGTTTTCTTTTTCCTTTTTGTTCTTTATTGACTGTGCTTAAGTTAATAAGTTTACTTGTTCTAGGTGTTCTCTGCTGTGCGAGAAAAGGTTATGAACAACCTTGGCAAACATGCTGCTCCAGAGACTCGTGCAGCTGCAGGCAGCCTTGGCCCTTGGGTGAGAGGATGGGATGATTTCAAGAAAGCTCAAGACGGGCCTATAGCCGGGAATCAGTAGTTCAATTTGAGCTGGAAGATGTCAAAGAACCGGTATTCTTTAGTCATACGTGGAAAAGAATAATTAATGTAAAAAAGGGCAGTCCGATGCACTAAGCTCTCGCTATGTGCGGGGTCCAGAAAAAGGACCGGACCACGAGGATCAATTGTACACAGTCTTACCCTATATTTCTGCAAGAAGTTGTTTCCACGACTCGAACATGTGACCTCTTGGTAAAATTGAAGCAATTTTAATAATTACGCCAAGGTTGTATCCTCAGATTTTCTGAATATTACATCGCGTCTAAGCTTTCCGTATTAAATAAGGTTCATTGAGAGGTTGATAATTGTTTGAGTGACACACCGTGCTCAGTGACTAAAATCTTAGATTCGCCTTAGACAGTTATATATTTGTTTGTTCATTGAACCAACGTGATGTGATTATAGTAAAACCACAGGTTTGAGGTGTAAAAAGAGTTCCATTCCGACCTACTCCTGCTTTTAGCTTTGACAATCCAATAAATCCTTTAAATTTTGCTTCTCAATATGAGGAGGAAAGAAATAAAGGGATCTCTTATCCTCCACGAGTGACATCTTATTATATTATTACATTAATTTCTTTACTAGTCTAACGCTATGGTTTACTTTCTTTTGATCTTCAGCTATCTGTAGATGACAATTTTCATTTCTTGTTGTGAGAATGCAGTAGGAATTCCATTTAATAAATTGCAAATTGTTGATGGATAGATTATAGATGAAAGAGCTTACAGCCAGTATTTCAAACTGGATTAGCGTTACTCGTCTTCCAATTTCTTGACAAATTGGGAGATAGGAAAAGAGATGACGGAAGAGAAAGAATACTTGACTATATAGTTGGAACAAATTAGCACAATTAGTGATCAAATTAATCTGGTTCATTAATTTTCTAACACAATGTTAGTGGCACACGAGTACACTGGGGAACCAACATAGAGTTGTACAACAAATCCTACAGCTACAAAAATGAATGTGCAAACGTCCCCAGTTGCATCCTGTGGATGTTGTTATCAATAAAAGATTCTTCACTTCATCGAAAAACTACATACTTAAGATATACACTTCACACTAATTCCACACCTGTGACGCGACTTTTAAGGTTGAAAGCCAAGATTTAGGGAATGCAATAATCTCCAGTACCAGCTTCTTACCAAGGTTTTAGGTCACCAATTGGACCAGCAGTCCAGTTTAAGATCTTCTCCCCAGGACTCAAGTAAACACTCCTATCGTGTGGCAGTTTACGAGCAAGTCCATTCAATATTTGATGGAAAGCATCACCTGGTTGTGCAGGTTGTGGAAATAACATAGCCTGCTTCATTGAAGGGTTGGCAAGCAATCTCTGCTTCCTCAATATTTCCTCAGGTGGAATAGAAGTGAGTATAGTATCCAAATTTGGAACGTCCTTCTCGTCTACAAAAACACCAATCTCTTCCCAGGGGATTGCATCAGCAAATGGCAAGACAATATCATCTGCAATAATAACAGGGATGCAACCGAATATAACTGCTTCAACCAATCTTGGACTCCACGGGGCCCACCCAAGTGGACACAAGCAAAAGATGGCTCGCTGCATGTCTTCATAGTAGGTAGTTGGATGTTCCGTAGAAATATCAAAGAGAGGATTGTCCTTAAAGTTCTCCCATACTGCTGCCCGTGCACCTCTGAGAAGAGAAGTAAGAGTCAGGTACCTTGTCATAAGACATATTTCCATGTTTGGGAGGTCAATACAGAAAATCAAAAGCTAGTTGTCTTCAATCTATTTAGTGTCAGCGTTCAGAATCAAATGTGATTTAATCTTAGAGGTTGAGACATGGGGATACCTTGCATAGTAACCACCTTCTGGATCATTTCCTACGTCATAGAACAAGCCACGAAAGTAAACAAAGATGGATCGTGGAATATCTGGAGGGATGAAGTGGGACTGCATTTTCTGCGGAGGGGCATAGGGAGGAATTGTAATTGAACCATCCTTCAAACACACATGATTTCTTTGTCCAAAAGTTTGAACTAGAGTTGCACGTTGGAGCAATGGAAGAATTCCCCTCCCAATAGCTTTTTCCTCCTACAATTTGCACGAAATAATCAGATGTAACCACACACTTTCAGTAAAAAGTAACGTGGAAATTTATAAAATGGCACTGTGACTAATCCTGTGAGATTTCCACGACCATTTTAGTGAAATCCAGTTTAGTTAAATATAAATTTGATGTGTATATATATCAATGTGTGCTTTGTGTGTGTGTGTGAGAGAGAGAGAGAAAGGGGACTTAATTCTCACTTGATAATGAAAACAAGCAGCAAAATCGTGTGGGACAATGAAGAAGTGATCAGCCCCCTCTGTCCTATTCCAATAAGGCCAGTTAGAAGCAATAAGTTGTATTGCACTCCTCATCATTCGTGGCGACTTGAAGGGTAAAGGAAGGCCATTTGGTGTCAGGTCACAAGTGGTATAAACAGGGGTGTAGAACCAATCAGCTTCCCCGGGATTAAGGGTTCGGACAGGGCTAGATAAGAGGAAACGATGCATATAGATCTCCGCAGCAAACATGTGGCTAAGACATCGTGGGTCTTTCTGAAGAATTTTCTTGTTGTATTTGCTGGGAAGCTCATATACAAAAACTTTTAACCTCCCAACTGGATCATCTTCCAAGACATCACCGGCACTACCTGAAATGCAGAAATGAAAGGAAAGTTGATAATTTCATAGAGTTCAAAGCAAATATTTATGTCCTTATCGCCTAACCTAATTTAAAAAACTAAAAAACAAAATGATGTAGTCAGACATGCAAAGTGACGGATAGGGAAATCATACTCTATAAGCCTTTAATCTAAACTTTTTAGCATCTTAGAAGTATCTAATTATATTTCATTTTTGCAATATATTTTATATGAAGGGGATCCTTAGTGTAATTGATAAAGTTGTTGCCACGTGACCAGGAGGTCGCAGGAGGTCACAGGTTCGAGCTATGAAAACAGTCTCTTGTGAAAATGCAGGGTAAGGGCCGTAAGGCTGCGTACAATAGACCCCTGTGGCTCGATCCTTCCTCAGACCCCGCGCATAGCGGAAGCTTAGTGCACCGGACTGCCCTTTAATATACTTTATATCACAGGTGAATTTTTAGGTTGGTAAAATGTGTTGCTTTAAAGTCACAAGGATGACACTTCGGTAGCACTTACAACGACAACAACAACGATCCAATGAAATCCCACTAGTGGGGTCTGGGGAGAGTAGTGTATACGCAGACCTTACCCCTACCCCGATGGGGGAGAGAGGTTTTTTCCGAAAGATCCTCGGCTCAAGAAGACAAAAAGAAGGCGAAAAGAGGCAATCTATCAGTACCATCAATAGAAACCATAGAGCAAAGAACAGCATCACCAAAACCAGAAAATAAGTGAGAAGCAAAACAATAACCTGTAGATAAAGCACAACACTAAGAGGAACGAAAGAGTAGTGTGAACTCACATTAACCACTGACAGTCAAAGACCAAGTCCTAACAGGCTAGCCTCACTCTGCGGCGCTGTAGAGATATTCCCAACTACCTCCTAACCTACAACCTTAATGTTCGATCTCCACAACTTCCTGTCTAGGGCCATGTCCTCGGTAATCTGAAGCTTCACCATGTCCTGCCTAATCACACTTCGGTAGCACTTGTAACATTGAAATTATTCACTAACATATTATCTACACTGCTGCAAATCTCATTCATCCATGCCCCAAATCTAACATTGAAATTATTCACCAACATATTATCTACACTGCTGCAACTCTCATTCATCCTTGCCCCAAATCTCTGAACTCCAGAGTTAGTACATATACATGAACCAAATCCTATTGGGATTCTTGGAAAAAACATCAGACATTTTGGCAGTCTAAAAGCATCAAATTAAGTTTTACTGAAGTCAGATCCTGCTAAGCAAAATTTGTGATTTCATTATATCTAAATACAACTCAATAATATAATGAACTAACTCTATTAATAGTACAAATTGACCCAAAAAAACTATAAATAGCAATATCAACACAAAGTTTCTAACCTTCTCTTTTTCCTTTCAGAGTGAAGAAGAAAATTTTCTGAGGGAACCAATAGCTGTCAGAAACTTAGATATCATATCCCATACATAGCTCAAAGAGCCTCTCTTTAGAGGCAAAATCCATCATTTCTTGAATCAAGGTCTAGGATTTAGATTTAAGATTTAAAACCTTATGATAGAAGACCACTATCCCCAATACCAATCAAATAACTTACACCTCACGAACAAAATTGTGTACTCAGTACTCTTCCTCACTCTCTTTAGTTGTACTACATGCTACCATAGTAAGGTAATAAATACTTGAAAATTTGAAAACGGTAGAAAGGAGGGGAAACATCACCTATTTCTAATCCATCATCCAGAAACAGTACAAGTTGAATTGATACCAAGGGGTGCGAATGAGTTTATCAAGTAGCATATCTAGATGTCAAAGATCGAATCGAGTCAATTATCTAAAAGCTTGAAGTTGACTCAAACTCTAAAAACTTTGATTCAAGTCCAATAAGAACACTGAAACATGATAAGTTCCTTAAGTAAAGGTCATTTGAGACCCATATACTTAGTGTGACTAAAAAATCAACATTCTTTTGAACTCCATATTAACAATAGATCTTATACATTGTTTTTTGAGCCTCTTTAGAACTCTAAGATTTAATATAAGTGTAAAAGAAACAACAACAATATACCCAGTATTATCCCACACCATAGGGTCTGGGGAGGATAGTGTGTACGCAGACCTTACCCCTACCTTGTGAGGATAGAGAGGTTGTTTCCAATAGACCCTCGGCTCACGAAAGCATAAGCACCACATTAATGAAAATATAGACAACAAGGGACAGTACCAAAAAGCCATATAAAAGCAGAATAAAAATAACAAGATAGTAAGGTGATCAACAATGAAAGAAAACAACGGTTAGTCATAAAAACTTACTACCAACAGAAAGTAAGTGTAAAAGAAAAATGAAAAAAAAAATAATAATAAACACGCCAACTAAAAATATTACAACATAATTTTAACCATCCTATTAACTTAGAGATTGACTAAAGAACTTTCAAGCAGAATACCTCACTATTTGTACTCGGCTTAATTCTAAGGCAAGCTCGGTCACTGAGCTCGTTTTATTCAATTTAAACCAAGCCTCATCGAATTTGGACCCAACTGTATATTTAAAGCTAAGGATTGAAAGGGGGAACTATCACTATTTCATTTTCCTTTTTCTTTATGAAGAATGATCACCTATTTATAATCCACCATCCAGGGCCAATACAAGCTGAATTGATACCAAGGGCTGTAAATGAGTTTATCAAGCTGAATAGCTAGATGTTTCGCATTGAATTGAGTTAATCTACAAGCCTGAAGTTGACTCAAATTCTAAACTATGATTCAAGTCCAATACAAACACTGAAATATGATGAGTTACTTAAGTGAAGGTCATTTGAGACGCAAGATTTATACTTTAAAGTTTGAATAAAACATCGAAAGCTTTTAAACTCCAGATTAACAGATTAAGTTTGAACAAATTGTTTTTTGTGCCTCTTCAGAATAAGTGTAAAAGAAATTAAGAAAAAAACACATCAACTAAAAATATTACAACTTAATTTTAATCATCCTATTAACTCAGAGATTGACTTTCAACAGGCATACCTCACTATTTGTACTTGACTAAGTTCTAAGGCAAGCTCGGTTATATTCAATTTTAACGAAGCTTCACTGAATTTGGACCCAACTGTTTGTTTAAAGCTATAAGTTCGAGCTCTAGTTGCGAGACATTCAATAACGAAATCTATTCATTTCCCCCTAGCAGTGTATCACTTGATCCAAGCTAAAGATTTTCTGGATCCAAATAGTCCTATATCAGTTCACAACAAAACCCTAGCTATACATCTGGCAGTTCGAATTTTGGTAAAAAGGATAAGAATTATATTTAATTCAAAACAAACCCACAAAAATTAACCTAAAAATGATGAAACAGACTTTAAAAAGTGAATGTAATTTCATTGATCAGCAACAGAGTGATAGTTACCTGAGATTCTCTCGGTACGCTCGGTTCTATGAAATTTGAGGGCTTCAATTCCCAAAAGGAAAGCAAAATAAAGAAGCAAAAGAAAACCCAATCGCAAATTCCTCATATTCTACTGCCTCTCTAAATCTGTGAGTAAAACAAATCTATATAGAGTAACCCAAAAGATCAAAACTTTAAAGGATATGTTATAGGAACAAAAAAGAAAAGTGGCAATTTTTTGTTAATAAAAGGTAGGAGGAATCTATAGTTGAAGGGTCAATAGACAGAGTAGTTGTTAGAGAGGCATTCCCCCCCCCCCCCNTATGTTATAGGAACAAAAAAGAAAAGTGGCAATTTTTTGTTAATAAAAGGTAGGAGGAATCTATAGTTGAAGTGTCAATAGACAGAGTAGTTGTTAGAGAGGCATTTTCTCTCTTTTAACAAAGACAGCTTACAGGAAAAGAAAATGAAATGAAATGCTAGTATGAATTGAACATTATTGAGAAAATAATAGTGATTGATAAGTTTGTGAGAGATTTGGTTCAAGAAACAGAGAGGAAGGGGAGAGAGAGAGGTTAGAGGAGGTTTGGTTGTCAGTTCTGTTGCATATGTTGAAAATGAAATAGGTTTTTCTAACTCCCCATTGTTTAATGGCTTGTACAGGTACGGCCAATCTGGATCAGAATAAAAGAGGTAATATCATTTGACTACGGACTACTTTTGTGGTCTCAAAATAAAAATAAAAAAGTTACTTCACTGGTTGGTCTCGGTACGTAATATAAGAAAAGGAAGGATCGAGAGCTAGCATTTGAATATAGATTTGGTTTAAATTTGAAAAATGATTGTATAAAACAATGAAGAAGAATATTACAAAGAAAAAGAGAGAATTTTTATTGACTTGGTATGAATTACAACGCAATAGAACCCCTCTATTTATAGGAAAAAGTGACTTATACACCAAGTAACAAACCCTAAGATCTCTCTAAAATATAGACATTCACCTTAAATAGAATTCTATATATAACACTCCCCTTGAATATCTATTCAACAGATAACGTGCTTCGTTAAAACCTTAACAAAAATAAAACTCAATGGGAAAAAAAATTCTAGTAAAGGAAAAAGAGTACACATATCTAACAATAAGCCTTTTGGTTGTCTCGTTAAAAACCTTGCAACGAAAACTCAATTGGACAAAATCTTGTAAGGGAAAAAGAGTGCAACGTGTATTAACTCCCCTTGATAAGAGCATCAATTCACATCTTTGAGCATTCGCATCCCAATCTTTTATACTAGCTTCATGAAGGTTGACATCGGTAGAGATTTGGTGAACAAGTCAGCCATATTATCACTTGAATGAATATGTTGCACCTTGAAATCATCATTCTTGATAGATATGTAATGTCTTAATATAATGTCGTGGAATAGCCTTTTCAATATCTCCACAGAGGTATTTTCGCTATCACATTATCATGCTTATAGTTATAGCAAGATATATATGTGCACAAATTACACTTATCACATAGTACTTCAGGACCAAGAATTGTATATGTTTCAAGCAATTTAAATCCTTCAAGGATTGTCATATAAGTTAAATAATATAATAGACTTTGATTAGATGCATACCAAGTTTTCATGTCATGCTAGACAAATAAGACATCGAAAACTGATTGCACATATCATTAACTTTATACTTTCAAGTGTTTGAACTACATGTCTTTCATACAACAACAACAACAACCCAGTATAATCTCACAAGTGGGGTCTGGGGAGGGTAATATGTACGCAGACCTTACCCCTACCCCGAAGGGTAGAGAGGCTGTTTTCAGGAGACCCTCGGCTCATGTCTTTCAAGTGTTTGAACTACATGTCTTTCATATGAAACCAAATTCTACTTGAATTGTGTCTCTTCTGTTTGGCCAATATTTTTGTGTCTGTATTCGACAAACTTGAGGTTCTCATCTATATTTAGCGCTATGATAGATGTCGACGACGAACATTTTATATCGATTCCAATATCTTTTTTTTCATAAAGACATAACATAGAGATCTCTTCATTCATATTTTCAGGTACCTAAATCTCTCCTGAGATTTTATGAAGTGTTATGTTATGTGATCTTCTAGATCACTTGCCTCCTTATTATGATCATTTTGATCATTTGCTCATCTTCTTTATCAAGAATTTTAATTGAAACCGATTTGTCTATATGCTTTAGGTGTACCATAGACTTTGTCCTTCTAGGACTTGTGTCTAATGGGAGCATTTGCAGTGAGAATATAGTTACTTTCTTTGGACCAGAAAATGCGTCTGGCATGCTTTGCAATATATTGCAAATGAATTATCTTATTTTAATGAACCTCAAGTTCATATTATCTTATTCGAGGATCTAGATGTACAAATAATAATTCATTCCATGTAACTTTTTCTCAACTGCTTATCTTGTCTCTCCCTCATTTTAGAAAAACTAACTTTCTGTCTCAATTTTGGGAACCCATTTTTGTGCATTATGGTGTTAATGAAAATATACATCGCATATCAATAATAATAAGATGGAATTATTTGGTTCCTAACTCCGAACCAGTTGGGATGAGAGAATGTAATATACTTTCGTATATAACGTATATTAAACTGATATATATAATTTTGTTCTCATAAGCAACAATTAGCTATTAAGTGGAGGCACTCAATAAATTATTTTGCTAAACCAACTGTGATGTAGACCAACTTATCAAGATAAACTGTCTTGAATGAAAAATATGAAAATTATGCTCGAAATTAAATTACTAAGCAAGTTACCTCGCAAACACCGGTCAAGTTGCGGGTTAATAATAATCGCACATGTAACCATCTCATAGATACATCTTATGTGGTATACATGGCAGATGAATGAACCCACATTTACTTTTGATATTTCCAGGATTCATGGGATTCAATCCCAATTTTAGTTGGTCTATTAATTCATAAGAACAAGCAATGTAAGAGAATCCGTAAAAAACTTTCTAGTTCTTTAATATTTACCTATGTGAATTCTCTATTATTTTTGCACACCATACTTAAATTGATATGGCTAAAACCAATTATGCCAACTGAATAAATTATTAATATTGATAAACTTCAGATTTACACCATGACATGTGCAATTATCAATAAACTCCAAGTTTGTTATGATATGAGTTTTTATATCAATAAACTTCTACTTTACTGTGGTGTTTTTTTTATATAGTACAAACTACAGAATAAAGCAGGTAGCTTTTCACATACATATTATCCTGCTACAAGTTGTAGTATTAGAAGATATTAAATCTTTCCTTTATTATAGTCTCAATATGACCAACCGCTTTCGCGAATACTTTAGAAACTCAATTAAGTTTCTTTGAGATTTACTACAACATAATAAATTGACATGATAATCAATTGTATTCCTCCAAAATAGTAATAATTGGCTCTTCCAGAGCTCTCAATTAATTTTGTACTACTACATATTCAAAGACTTTTATATGGTGAATATCTCTTTTAAAGAGAAAGTTATACCATTGTGGTCATGGTCAGAATTCTATACAAGATCTGTTCCTTGCATTACTGTTTCCCTTTAATAATCACATCGCCAAAATATTTTGGCGTACAATAGGTATGTGACCAATGACCATTCATGCCATAATAATGATACTATTTTCTTATTTCCCCTCAAACTTTATTGTAGAGGTGAGTATGGTATATCCACTACTACTAGCACGTTCATATTCTTCCAAGAATGAATATGTATTCATAAATCACATATTGTCGCATTTACATTATGAATGAACCATAATCATCTATATGTGATTTACAAAATCTTATGTCAAATCGACGACAAATATTACTCTCACATAGTGAAGGATTATTTTGAGAATCCTTATTATTCTCATTACGACAATGATGATGATTATAATTTCGTCTATTGCCACGTCCACATCCATTGATACCTTTACAGTAATAATTTTGTCTTCTTTCAGACGTATCACGTTATGCTATCACATTCTCTTAAGGGAATAAGAATGGAGCAAATTCAATGGGACGAATTTTCAATTCTTGTGCTCACCATCATACATGACTTTGATCATGGCAAGACATAGAAATTTTACCACTTTGGGTGGTTATAATTTCTTTCAGACTCCATTAGAGTTACAATCAAAATTTATTGTCTTTTCTTGTATTTAAAATCAAATTATAGAATGTCAAGAATTTAAAAGAGAAAAATTAAGTAAAATACTTACCTTAAATCTAGAATTTAATCATAAAGGAAGTTCATGGAACAATTGACAATCATTATGCTCAATCCCAAAGCTTCTACTCAATTAGTTAGAGTCTTGTGCTGATAACGTGTTATAAAACAATAAAGAAGAATATTGCAAAGAAAGAAAGAGAGAATTCTTATTGATTTGGCATGAATTACAACGGAATAGAACCCCTCTATTTTGTAGGAAAAAGTGACTTAGCCACCAAGTAACAAACCCTAAGATCTCTCTAAAATATAGACATTCACCTTAAATAGAATTCTATTTATAACAAAAAAATTAAGTTGTGTTAAAAAATAATTTTTTGAAGTTGAAGTTGTGTTTGGACATGCATTTTATTTGAAAAAAAGTTAAAATTTTTGTAAGTGGAAGAAAGATTTTCACTCAAAAACTGTCCTAAAAATAGTTTTGGAAACTTGAAAAAAAATTGATCATATTCCAAGAACAAACAATGTTTCAATTTTCTTTTTTTGAAAAATTAGGTGAAAGTGCAGAAAGAGAGGGATTCGAACCCTTGGTAAACAAAAGCCTACATAGCAATTCCAATGCTACGCCTTAAACCACTCGGTCATCTCTCCTACATAATGATTATGACCCAAAATCGAGTGATAGCGAGTCCGTCATAAACACTTATTGATTGGATAGGCACGACCCATCCATTCTAACTAGAAAAATAGAAAATTTTGGTAGCCAAAATTTATGACCAAATGAGAGCTTAGTATTTGGTATAAAATAAAGAGAAGTTATATATAAGTATAATTCATACACATATATTTTAACTAGGTGATATATATAATTTCATAAAGCTGTAGCCCAAAAGCAATAGCTAAAATTCAAGATCCAACTTCAAAATCATAAATAGCGTGCTATTATAAATTATCTCATTTAGAGTTATTTGGAATAAATTAAAAAAAATATGTTTCACATAAAATAGGACAGAGAAATAACATATTTCTCTTTTCGAAAGTTTTTTTCTTCTTCCTTGCATCTCCATTTTACCTCTAATGACATTACTTGTTGGTATTTGGGAGGCTCACTTGATATAAA